CACAGTCAATAACACATTAATGCATCAGGGGGTGGGTTTTTGAAAGTGCGTCGAGATGCATACTGCTGCTTAAAACTATTTAATAATTAGTCTGCTGCAGAAACTAAAGGTATTGTAGGCTATATTAAACCTCTTTCTTTATTTACATGCTATAAGCTGGTAGCTACTTGTTTTGCTGTGTTACCGATGAAGAAACAATTGTCGTCATTTATGACTGCAAAATAAGGCTTGCTATCTCACTCACACTTAATGTGCTCAAGAAATAGCCACAAGGTATTTCTTTTGTGATGTGTGAGGACTCCAAAGAGCTAATACAAGTAGCTATAAGGTCTATGAAGCGCCTAGAAAAAGAAGAAACTGTTTTACTTATCATCCGCTATGCAAACCAATGGAGAAATGAAGTGGGCGAGTCTCAAAGCAACTCAAATGAGGAGCGCGTTTTCTCCCATATCTTGCTTGCATTTTGAAAAACAAGCTTAAAAGTTATAGGATAACTAAAATAAAACATACAGAAGACATTTTTGAAGTCAAGATGGTATGTTTCTGTGTTTTCAGGCCTTTCTTTGGCACTTTGGTCAGTGAGGAGTCCAAAGAGCTATTACAAGTAGCTATACGGTTTATGAAGTGCCTAGAAAAAGAAGAAACTGTTTTATCTATCTTCCGCTATGCAAGCCAATGGAGAAATGAAGTGCGCTTGTCTCAAAGCAACTCAAATGAGGAGCGCGTTTTCTCTGCTTGCATTTTGGAGAACAAGCTTAAAACTTATAGGATAACTAAAATAGAATGTACAGAAGACATTTTTGAAGTCGAGATGGTATGTTTCTGTGTTTCAGGCCTTTCTTTGGCACTTTCGTCAGTGGGCATGGTCTTGAGGCTGTTCTAGTAGGCTCTCTTTCTAGCCGTGTTTTTTGACTTTTGAAGAATACAAGCTACAAATTTGTTGCAACACATTGTGTATAGACAAGATTTAGTATGTATTACCACAATTATAAATTATTTCTGTTTCTTGATGTTTATAGGAAGTGTCTAGAGCTCCGGTAACCAAACACAGTATGCAGAGCTAGAGATCTCGTAATAGGGGGCTTCACCCCCCTTTATTTATTCTGGGGCTACGCCACAGTCTTAATAATAGACGGATTTATTATAGAAACCGAGTATAAATACAACAACCAGCGTTGATGATGCAGCAAGGTCATGGTGGTGCAGTGGAGAGGCTGGTGTGGATTGCACAGATGTGGTCAGCAGTTCAAATCCGGTCAAGACTAATGAGTAAAACTATGCTGCAGTTTTTGTTTTTCTTTGTAAAAATTAACTTTTTGCTATTTTTTTGGCTTTTTTAGGTCAAGATATAAACACCTCATACATCTTAGCCTCCAGGGTTTTAGGGTTTGGATTTAGGTTTAGTGTTAAGTTGTTAGAGCATAGGTCAAGAAATAACACCCTCTCGTACATCTTAGCCTCTGGGGTCGTAGGGTTTGGATTGGGGTCTAGTGTTTAGTTTTAGAGCACCCCTTCGTACATCTGAGCCTCCGGGATAGTAGGGTTTTGCTTTTAGGGTTTAGTGTTTCTTGACAAAAGGCTAAGTTCCAATTTGCACTATTGCGTGTACGCACAAGCTGTTTCACTAAAAAAAACAGACTGCCGTAGCTTTAGCAATTGCAAACTATGTCCGGTTACCGGAACTGTAGCCACAGCCATGTTTATAACAAGAGTTATAAAACACTTCTCTGCATTTTGACTAAAAGTTAACGTATACTATAAAGCTTAGCATTAGAACAGGCACTTCAAGTGTCCCTTTGTTCCATTTCAAAATAAACTTATCGGGTATGCTTGTGCTGTTCTGATAATAGCAACTACACTTGCAGCTCTCTCATTGAATAAAGCAGGACGATTTAACTATTTTTAACCCCGACCATGAAAGGGTTAACAGGGCTTACCTTATGAGATTGAAAAAGTTCTGAGACAAAGAGAGCACAGCACAAACAAGTCAATCAGAAAGACCAGCAGTTGTGACCAATAAGGCCACATTTACTGCTGCTTCCTCCTTTTAGGAGCTGGCAGAACACCCATACTAGTCCCAGCCGATGTGGTGCTTCAGGTGTATGGTGGGCTCATGATTAAGGCTTTACAACAGAAGGCAAGGAGCATGACTTGTCCTTCCGCACAAAAATTCCTAATTTCTTCAAATAAGTGCCACTGCCTTTCTGATGATAACCCCTTTGATAGTACCACCTCTGGTAGTGTATCAGAAGGAGGCGGGGTAACATCATTTCTCAATAAACTTATTTTTCTAATGCTACTATCATGGATTCTTGAGCTAAGAAATCTCAGTGCAGTAGTGAATCCTTCTCCGTCATCAGATGGTGGATTATTTTTATCTCATCTATGTGCTTAGAAAGACATTGCAGAAAGCCCGTCCAATTAAAACACTGCACTAAAACCTGTCCTGTGCTAGATCCAACCAATTGGGAAATGTTCACTACTGCAGAATTGTCAACAACTTTAGCAATATCCTCCAAAGATTGTACTGCAGTCTTCCCAAGCTGTTTGATGAGCCCGAAGCACCAGTCTGGTGAGAACTTTGTATGCCTAACTGGAAGAAAGGAGATCTTATCAATTTTTCCTGTGTCACTACTATCCAGGCCAAATGTTGAATAAGAGTATTACTCTTATTTTGGTCTGTACAGTTGTCAGAATTGAGATGGATCATACTAGCATTGACGCCATTATTTTCAATGTAGTGATGGACATAGCTGACAACAGTATTTAACCCCTTCCTTGTGTCCATTGCTTCATCCACTAGGTATGTAACCTACCTAGGGAATGCTTCACAACAAACCCAAAACAAGTCACATTTCCTTGGTGTTAAGAAGTAGATGGGACCAGTCTGCAATGTATCACTGGGGTAATGCACCTGCATTTATTTATTTTTGGATAAAGATGTGTAAGGATACTAACTGACTTGTTGTGCATAGTCAAAGCTATTGTCACATTTTTGGCCTTATCTCATTTTCATTAAATTGGAGTTAATTTCGCAGATCTAAGATGGTGCACTAATGGTGTGGGAGTGGTAGTTAGTAGGTGTTGTCAATTACTTGTGTGCATTTAGAGTAAAATTTATTAGGCTATGGTAACTAGAAGATTGTAAAACATGAAGGGGCTAAGCCCTATAACCATATCATGGTGATTAAGTTATTAAAATTTAATAATAGTTACACGATCCCATCCTGCCTGTATAAACTCACCTTATCACTATAAGGGCTTTGCCCAATTAAGATGGCTTATATTTGTCTTTAAAAAAATTTTAAATAAATGTACTGCTGCTTCACATACTATATACTTGTATGGAGAAAACTAATTTCTTTCAGGCCGTATACCTTTATCTACTGGTATGTATTTTATACCATCATCAGTGCTATTGACAACTTGAATTGTGAAATGTATTATATTATGTAGGTACTGTTGTTCTCTCACAGAAGCTGTTTTTGAACATTCCTCACCTTATAGACACATT